GTGAGGAACACAAATGCGAACAAGCCTGAATGGTCCCCAGGACAATATGCAACTGAAAACTCACACCCCAGAAGTGACTCGAACCCATACTCCCAGAAGCAACGCAACTGGTATGTACAAGACGCCTTAATCCACTTGACCATCACGACCGGACATAATGAGGTGATAGCCGAGGTTACTATCCGAGTGCCGGCGGTGGGGTGGTTCAAATAGCCTCGGCTATCACCTCATTATGTCCGGTCGTGATGGTCAAGTGGATTAAGGCGTCTTGTACATACCAGTTGCGTTGCTTCTGGGAGTATGGGTTCGAGTCACTTCTGGGATGTGAGTTTTCAGTTGCATATTGTCCTGGGGACCATTCAGGCTTGTTCGCATTTGTGTTCCTCACGTGTGCCCCAAAGAATGAGGTGATTTGGTAAAATGCTATGCCCAAGATTACTATCCGAGTGCCGGCGGTGGGGTGGTTCAAATAGCCTCGGCTATCACCTCATTATGTCCGGTCGTGATGGTCAAGTGGATTAAGGCGTCTTGTACATACCAGTTGCGTTGCTTCTGGGAGTATGGGTTCGAGTCACTTCTGGGGTGTGAGTTTTCAGTTGCATATTGTCCTGGGGACCATTCAGGCTTGTTCGCATTTGTGTTCCTCACGTGTGCCCCAAAGAATGAGGTGATTTGGTAAAATGCTATGCCCAAGATTACTATCCGAGTGCCGGCGGTGGGGTGGTTCAAATAGCCTCGGCTATCACCTCATTATGTCCGGTCGTGATGGTCAAGTGGATTAAGGCGTCTTGTACATACCAGTTGCGTTGCTTCTGGGAGTATGGGTTCGAGTCACTTCTGGGGTGTGAGTTTTCAGTTGCATATTGTCCTGGGGACCATTCAGGCTTGTTCGCATTTGTGTTCCTCACGTGTGCCCCAAAGAATGAGGTGATTTGGTAAAATGCTATGCCCAAGATTACTATCCGAGTGCCGGCGGTGGGGTGGTTCAAATAGCCTCGGCTATCACCTCATTATGTCCGGTCGTGATGGTCAAGTGGATTAAGGCGTCTTGTACATACCAGTTGCGTTGCTTCTGGGAGTATGGGTTCGAGTCACTTCTGGGGTGTGAGTTTTCAGTTGCATATTGTCCTGGGGACCATTCAGGCTTGTTCGCATTTGTGTTCCTCACGTGTGCCCCAAAGAATGAGGTGATTTGGTAAAATGCTATGCCCAAGATTACTATCCGAGTGCCGGCGGTGGGGTGGTTCAAATAGCCTCGGCTATCACCTCATTATGTCCGGTCGTGATGGTCAAGTGGATTAAGGCGTCTTGTACATACCAGTTGCGTTGCTTCTGGGAGTATGGGTTCGAGTCACTTCTGGGGTGTGAGTTTTCAGTTGCATATTGTCCTGGGGACCATTCAGGCTTGTTCGCATTTGTGTTCCTCACGTGTGACCCAAAGAATGAGGTGATTTGGTAAAATGCTATGCCCAAGATTACTATCCGAGTGCCGGCGGTGGGGTGGTTCAAATAGCCTCGGCTATCACCTCATTATGTCCGGTCGTGATGGTCAAGTGGATTAAGGCGTCTTGTACATACCAGTTGCGTTGCTTCTGGGAGTATGGGTTCGAGTCACTTCTGGGGTGTGAGTTTTCAGTTATATTATATATATATATATATATATATATATATATATATATATATATATATATATATATATATACTGGTGTATACTGCCAGCAGGTTTTCATTTATACATGTTTCATTGAATATGACTTCATATTCTGTATTGGTTATTTCCTTCTTTAGGGCTTCTATCCCTCTGGCTAATGCTCTTGCATCTTGGTTGAATTGGAAGAGAAGTTCTCCAAAAGTGATCTTCGTTCACGGTAAAGAAAAAGAAATAAATAACTGTAAATGTATTACACTTATTATAAAATAACACAACGTTTCAAACCTACAGGGTTTATTCTCATGTGAAAGGAAAGTTCAAACTATATAGGATTTATACTATTAGAGGGGGTCAGGTGTAGATAAATAGACCAATGCCAATGGATCAAGAATAAGGCGTAAAGGGGGAGAAATGTAGGGTGTTAAAGTTTGAAGAAAAACGCGAAAATGGGGTTCGATTCACATACAAAGATCAATCAGGTGTAGTGGGCGTAGCATGTTGAGCAGTGTCTTCTATGTTGGCATCTTCACGTTCCAGTTTTTTTCTTACACTCATGGTGGGTAGAGTGAAAAGTTCGGTTATTAGGGTATTTATTTATTATGTAGGGTATATTAGGGTATTTTTTATTATGTAGCTTGCTTCAAAAATTTGAAATCTACTTACATCTTTGTTTTTTTCTATTATACAAGCATAATACTTGTGTTTTTATTCAACATTTCACTTGTTTGGGTGATGTCATGGGCTTGTCTCATGGGATTTTTGGGGGCACCTGATTGAAGACGACAAGTCAAACGCCTCGTCAGCTTGGTCGATGTCATACCTGTGTCCATAGGTTGAAGGCTACATCCTTCGTTGGGGCAGTTGTACATATATACCTCGCTTGCCTGCTGTAAGGGGTTCTGCGTCGGATTCAAGCTGTCTTTTAATAAGGAAGTCGGTAGTCTTTTTAGTTTTATAGAATACTAGCAGTACCCAGCCACGCGTTGCTGTGGCTCAGCAATGCATGTGAGTTGCTAAGCCACAGCAACCTTCCCTGTCCCCCAGTCATCCCCAACATTCCCCCCTCACCCGTCTCGTCGACTTCCCAACCATTCCCCACTCCACCATCCCCCTCTTCCTTCCCACCGTTCCCCACACCCCTGTCCCTTTGTCCGCCTCACCTTTCTCCATTCCCTCATCCCCTCATCCCCACCATCCCAAACTCCCCCGTCCCCATGTCCTTCCCCACCATTAACCCCTCCCTTCTTCCCTCGTCCTCCCCACCATCTCTCACTTCCGTCCCCTCGTCATCCCTACCATTCCCCACTCCCTCGTCCAAGGCCATCCCAAATGGTCTGATGTTCCCATCAGAAAATTGGAAACATCAAGTGATCTGATGTTCTCATCACTGAAATATAAGAAAAACAGTTAAAAAATAAATGAAAATGGGGAAAAAAATATATACTATACTCAGGAAATTTATTTATTTATTTATTTATTTATTTATTTATTTATATATATACAAGAAGGTACATTGGGATTGTGAGGATACATAGGATAGTAATTACATCCTTGTAAAGCCACTAGTACGCGCAGCGTTTCGGGCAGGTCTTTAATCTAAGAAAATTTTAAGTAGGTAAACACTTGCAAAATTTATAAAAATGATAACAGTTACATAGCAAGAAAAAAATAAAAGATAAGAGAACGGTATAGTAAACAACACAGCTCAATTCCAAAGCAATTCACACAAAATAATTAAATAAAAATTAAAATAAATCAAAATGTATGAAAATTCAACTTATCAATGCAATCAGAAACAGTGAAATAAATTGTAACTTTTTTTTGAGATATATATAAAAGAGTTGTTACGTTCTTGTACATATTTATTTTAGCATGTATTTTATATTTTAGCATTTTAGCACATAATTAGCTTAGCATGTGTGTGTTGCTCTTACATGCAACAGATGGCGCTGTTTTTCAAGAAAAGCATGGTTTTATCTGTCACAGGTGTGGCATCTATACTTATACTCACGAAATGAATGGTATGGTAAACAACACAGCTCAATTCCAACACAATGTCACACAAAATAATTCAATAAAAATAATAAATCGAAATCTACGAAAATAATATTTATCAATGCAATCGGAAACATTGAAATGGAATTCGTGACATATTTAGTATAGCATACATGTTGCTATTATGTGCAACAGATGGCGCTATTTAAAAAAAAAACGCATGTTTTAGCCTGTCAGAGGGGTGACATCTATATAGTATGTGAAAGGACGCGCTTATTCGAATGCAACGTTGTGTGAAAATTTGAAAGCAATCGGTAATGAGGTTTCAAAGATTTCCCTCACATGAAAAACACAGTTTTTCAGAAGAAGCATATTTTTTCTGTCACAAACATGACATCAATATCGTATGTATATATAAACCCGCTCGGATGCGAATGAAACATTGTGTGAAAATTTCAAAGGAATCAGTGAAGAACTTTCGGGGATTAGCGATTTTGAACAAACGAACATTTCCATTTTTATTTCTATAGATGATTAAGTCTATAGATTTGTTAGGGGTTGTGCTTCTTACTCCTTTACGAATTATTTCTTTCATTATTGGTTCTTCTTATTTATGTTCACTGTGCATGATTGATATATAATATAATTTCATTGGAGGCATTGTGGTTTCTGTTCTTGTTCAGGATTGTACTAGATATCTGTCCAGATGTCGTCATGTAGTATTATTTCTGTGTTGCTATATCTATTGTTCACCAACAACTGAGTTATTCTTCCAAACTCCCTACTCACGGTGCACCATTCAGAGCAGGTGGTAAGAGCTCGACGGATATAAGTGTTGAGAACAACGCTTCGGATTTGTAGTTCTGAGGTTCTGGGTTCGATCCCCGGTGGAGGCGGAAATAAATGGGCAGAGTTTTTTCATCCAGATGTCCCTGTTACCTAGCAGTAAATAGGTACCTGGGAGTTAGACAGCTGCTACGGGCTGCTTCCTGGGGGTATGTTTGTAGCAAAAAGGAGCCTGGAGGACCGGTCCTCGGTTCGCAAAGCCCTGAAACCATCTCAAGATAACCTCGAGAAGATACAATGTACTGGCTTTTAAAGTTGCTATCTTGGCGTAAAACTGAGAGTTGGTGAATGTTCTCTGTGAATGATATATTTCATATTTGACTGTCTCCATATGTATGGTTGATATATAATTGTATTAGGTTATTAACGATTGCTTTGTTTAATGTTAATTATTTATTCATTAATAATAAACCAATTTTTTAAGAATGCTTCATTTTTGTTTCACTATTATGCTGATATTTGACCTCTAAATTGAATTACAATTTAACAGGAATGAGGAGCGCTGCATCCTACTTGGAAGGATCAGGTTTAATTGTATATATTTATGTCAGCTGACATAAGACGAAGCGATATCTGAAGACTTATATTCAGGTGCTCGTAATTTCCAGGAGAAACACCAGCAGACTAACAACATAACCACCGAGCAGGATTATGAACATTCCCTAAAATAACAGATTATACATTTAGAATATAATTACAATTTATGATAATATGTTCATAATTATATTCATCTTCATTATGAGCTAAAAGTTGCATTACCCAAAGGTCAGAGACAGCGAGAGGAGTGGTTTCGGTGACCTTGGTAGGTGGGTAGGCACAGGTTGTTGCACTGGTGCCTGAGGCCCTGGTCCAGTAGAGATAAAAACCTGTTTCCGTCAAGTCCATCACTCTGTAAAGATTTAATAAATTATATGTACTAGATAGGGTAACAGCAGTGCTGACTTCGACCCCTTGAAGGTTGAGCTATTAGAGCCAGACACCCAGAAAAAGAGACAATAGAGCGGGCCCAGAAGAGCACTTGAAAGTCCCCAACCCCTAGCCAGTCACTCTGTGACTGGCATTAAGGCTACCCACAAGCATCTGGCTTACAAACGTTGGTAAATAAATAAACATACATACTTTTTAGATATAGATATACGAGTGAGGTTCCCAGCATTGTCTGAGTCTGCCTGTCTGTCATCCATCTGTCCATCTCTCTGTCTATCCATACATCAATCAAATTATTTAGCTATCTATCTACCAATACATCTATACACCTTCTATCCATCCATCTATCTATCCATTTATCAATCTTACTATTCATTTATCCATCAATCCATCTATTTCTCCATCTATCAATCAATCCATCCATCTATCTATTCATCTATCTATCATATATCAATCCATAGGGCCTTCCTTCTATTCGCCCATCCAGCCTTCCATCTACTCATTGATCTAACAGTCTATATAATCATCTATCTATCTATCTATCTATCTATCTATCTATCTATCTATCTATCTATCTATCTATCTATCTATCTATCTATCTATCTATCTATCTATCTACTCATCGCTCTATCAATCAATCCATCTTTCCAACAATCTATTTATGTATCTATCTATCCATCCACCTATCTATCCATCCATCTCTCTATCAGTCCATCTATTTATCTGTCTATCCATCTGTATATCCGTCTATCTATCCATCTATCCGTCTATCTATTCTATTGATCATTTGTTCATCAACCTCTCCATCTGTCTATCCATCTATCAAAATATCCATTTTCCATATATCCATCCATCTACCCCATCTATGAATTCATCGACTCATCCATCTATCTATTTGTCTATCCATCGACTCATCTGTCTATCCGTCTTCTGTCTTTCTATCTATCTCTCCATCGATCCATTTGTCTATCCATATATCTATTCATATGCAGAATAACCACATGTGAAATACCGAGAATGCTTAACGCGTTTTCGGCTAATTCGCCTTCATCAGAGCAAAGTAGAATGAAGAACTATCCATATATATATATCTGTCTATCCATCCACCCACCTATCAATCCATCTTACAATCTATGTACTCATATATCTATCCATCTTCCATGTGTCCATCCATCTACTGTACTCACCTAGTTGTATTCATCTAGTTGTGCTGGCGGGGGTTGAGCTTCGGCTCTTTATTCCCGCCTCTCAACCGTCAATCTACTGATGTACAGATTCCTGAGCTTCTAGAGTTCCATCATATCACTATCAATGTTTTTCTGTCTGTATCTCTCTGTATCTGCCTGTCCTTGTCTCTGTCTCTATTTCTGTATCTCTCTAACAGTGTCTTTGTCTGTCTCTGTTTCTCTTTCTGTGTCTGTCTCTATCTGTCCGTCTGTCTCTTTCTGTTTATGTTTGTCTCTACTTTATTCTCAGTCTTATTACATTTGTTATTGTCTACTGTGTATTGGGTCGCTGGTGAGAGGAGCTGAGTGGTTTGAAATGCAAAAACAATGTTACCCCTTTACTCCTAGTAGGGGACATTGGTTAGATAAATCTTTCAAGCTGTCGTAGGATGGTTACCTACCTTGAGGTTACCTTGAGATGATTTCGGGGCTTAGCGTCCCGGCGGCCCGGTCGTCGACTAGGCCGGCCTCCTGGTTGCTGGACTGGTCAACCAGGCTGTTGGACGCGGCGGCTTGCTGTCTGACGTATGAGTTTCAGCCTTGTTGATCAGGTATTCTTTGGATACCTGATTATTCTGATAAGTTATTGATCTGATCAATCAGATAATTTAGGATCCTGTAATTTATGTGACTTCAGGCATATTATTGACTGCAGGAAATTTATGTTAATTTTCCCGAGATCAATGAATAATGTTGTATATAATTGTAACAAAATACTTGTTTAATGTATTTTTGAAAATATTTAGTTATGTAGCTGGGGGGGGGGGGGCTGTGCCAAAAATCGTTCTTAGTGTGACTCCTGGCTCGCTGTTACTTTTTAATTCTGGCGACCGCGACCAGACTACGTTCATCGCACACCTCAGATCCCAGAGTAAGTAGCATTCCTTGGAGTGCTACTTTGTACATTGGCACCATCGAGGAAAGAGTCCTCTGTAGTAGGCCAAAACCAAGTATATACGGCCATTATGTAGATGACATTTGTCATCTATAAGACCTAGAAGAAGCAATTGGTCTGAAAAGCCGTCTGGAAGAAGAATCAGGACTCCGATTCACCCATAACAACCACTCAAAGGTATGAAAAGTAATTGTTCAATAATACTAAACATGTATATTTATTTTATTGGCACTTCAACAAAACTGGTGTTAAAACATTCAAACCACGCTGTAGAGCAGCAACTAATCAACATATTTATTTTTTATTTATTTTTATTTATACAAGAGTTCTTACATTCTTTTACAACCACTAGTACTCATATCGTTTCAGGCAAGTCCTTAATCCTATGTTTCCCGGAATATGACCCCGACAAATCGTTTAACAACCAGGTACCCATTCACTGCTGGGTAAAGAGAGTCTACAGTTAACGATGTGCGCCGAGTAAATCCTCCCCGGCCAAGATACGAACTCAGGACAAAGCGCTCGCAAGATGCTAGGCTAGCGTCTTACCACTACGCCACGAGGACTATCTTCCCGTGGCGTATAAACATTCACGCAATTCAAAAGGCTTGAAAAACTCAATAATACTCATAAGCTACACTGATTGGATGGCACAAAATGAAATTACTACGAACTACTTATTATAACAACCATTTGTGGCATTTCTTTTTAGAGAATTGCTCAATTATTGGCTTGAAATCCATGGTCTTCAGGATGTCATTTTCCATGCACATGAGGAAACGCCAGTTCAAACAACACTGCCCCATTGTGCTGCGAAGCAAATTTTTTATAAGTTTCAGTCTTGAAAAAGAACGTTCTCCTGTACTGTTGGTCACCATCGTGCACATGAACACTTTAGGTGCAATTTCAACATTCGGAAATACAGATTTCAAATTGTTCAAAATATTTTTTTTCTGTATTGGAGTATATTGAAGTAGCCTAGGCTACGTTGCCTCATATCATTCCAGTATTTACACCCTGATAGGAGGAAACTCCTTTATGTCTGAGAAGGTGAAGGATTTTCTCAATGAATATAATTTTGAGGCATTGGAGTGACTTGAGCTCGCAATCTGGTGATTCCAAGACACCTGCTTAACCACTCAGCCACGGTGGTACAGGAGTTGACAAACGCAGAACTCAACTGAGCTGTCTGGGAAGTTCTGGAGGCCCCAAACTGGGGCCCAACTAGGGTTTGCTAGCCAATCCGACTGCACTCAGCACTTGCACCAACAACACAGCTCTGTCGTCTTGTGCTAAAACTGTGCACGACAGGACATGAAGCTCTTCTGTATAGAACTACCATGCAAAGTTCTGCATTGCAGAACTTTTCTTTTTCAACCATGTTCCCCCCTCTTTTACCTCTATTTTTATTTGTTCTCAACACATTTTATTCTTTTTACCCATTAGTTTTAAGCTTTAGTCATTAATGTTTTTCCTGCCCGAAACGCTTTGCGTAATAGTGGCTTTAGGCATTGTATGTACTAGCTCTATCTATTAACCCAACAAACTTTGTAAAATCTCTTTATGTATGTACCTTACCTAAATAAACATTTTTTTATTTATAACTATGCATGCATAGTTCTGCATGGTCAGGTAGTGGTAGGCCTCATCGGCATACCACCAACACATGACGTCGAGAGCACTCTGTCATCTATGTGGCTGAGGCAGCAAATCCTCGCCCAGTAACAACACCACTAACACTCTTTTCATCAGTGCTGAGTGCATGTGGGGGAGCTGTATCTGAGCCTATGAGGAAGTTGGGTTGAGACCGCTGTCATGTCAACACCTGGTGGTTTCTCGCTCGCTTTCGGGATAGTCTCATCTCTTCCTCGGGAGTTCCATTTGGACTTCAGCTGGTTTCCTTTTTAACAACAGCGCCATCTGTTGCACGTAGACTAACACAAGCTATATAAAATATGTTACGATTCCATTTCAATGTTTCCGATTGCATTGATAAATAGAATTTTCATAGATTTTGATTTATTTTCTTTTTGATTTAATTATTTTGTGTGACAATGCATTGGAATTGACCTGTGTTGCTTACCATACCGTTCATTTCGTGGGTATAGTTTATTTGTTTCTATTTTCATTGTTTTTCTTTTCGTTTTTTAACTGTTCCTATTGTTTTTCGGTGCAAATAGTGGCGAAATTGAGTCACACAGTGCATCCAAATCAAGATGAATGCTTCTTTCTTCGCATGCTGTTGGTAAATGTGCTCGGTCCAACGTCTTTCCAGCCATTGAGATTTGTCAACGGCGTAACACATGCCACTTCTCGTAGTGCATGTCAAGCTCAGAATTTATTGGAGAACGACAGACACTGGGATGTATGCATTAATGACGCGTCCAACACGTCACATCCAAATCAAATTCGTGCAATGTTTGCAATCATATTGACCACCAGCTCTCCGTTATCTCCAACAGAGTTATGTGATATTTATAAATCGCACATGGCTGAAGATATTATCCGTCGAATACGCAAAGAAAATTCAAATATAAACATGGATTTTACAGCAAAAATCTTCAACGAAGCGTTGATAATGATCGAAGACTTGTGCTTAGAAATCGCGAACAAAGTTCTCAATCAATTGGAAATGCCATCATCGAATCGATCTGCTGCTGCTTCGTTCGACGTAGAATTGCGTCGTGAACAAAATTTCAACACGGGTGATCTGTTGTCGTATGTTTAATCAAATATTCCTAGGCTAACGCTTGAGCGAAAAGGGATTAACAATCATATAGTTCAAACTGTCAATAACAGGCTTGGAGAGATCTTCTTAGATGCGCCAGGAGGAACTGGTAA